AAAAATAAAAAATTAAATGAGGAAATAAAATTCAAGAAAAATAAAAAAATAAAAACAAAAAGGAGCCAGAATGTAAGATTCAACGAAAATAAGATACCCCATTGACTACAATGATACACCTGAAGAGTCCAAGGTATTGAATAAAAAATAAAAATAAATTAAAAAATAAAAAGCAGCCAGAATGTGAGATTCAACTATACCAGTGTACCATAGACTACAATGATACACCAGAAGAGTCCAAGGTATTGAATAAAAAATAAAAATATAAATTAAATGAGAAAATAAGATTCAAGAAAAATAAAAAATAAAATAAAATAAAAAGCGAGAAGTGAACGGTTTGGAAGTCCGTTGACAACTGATTTGGAATAAAGGAAATCCGCCTTTTATACTCTTTTTGGGGCTTCAGTCAGGGCCTACTAGTCTCGATAGCAGGCGATCTATCGATAGGCAAGAGGCATCTATCGATTAATCCAAGGGCTGCAACATAATGGGCTACTATGTAGCCCTAGAACCTGGCTGGCTCAAAATGGTAATTCTTGTAAAAAATGAGGTGTTTGTTAAAAAAACAGTGTTGATTTTAGAGAGTATCTATTACAGGAATTAATAAAAATGCCCACCAAAAAAATAGGATAGAAGCCCCTAGGATAAAATCACTCTGGATGACCCTTGAACTTTGAGCAATCGAGGCGTCGAAAAATTGTTGGGAATCTGTGAGAATGTTGGTCAGGGGAATGGGAATTGGTGACCCGGCAAGCAACAAGCTCCTTTTTGGGGACAACAATGGGACAATGACATGGCAGCACGTACACGGTTCATTGGTTCATCGGTTCAATAGTTGATTGGGCGAGCGAGCGAGCGAGCGGCTTATGAACTTGTACATATGCCACGTACTATACATATATATATACATATATGCATATATACATACATGTATGTATATGGATAAATGGAGAAATGCCGAGAGTTCAGAGTTCAGAGTGCGGTATTCCATTCGAATGGCAAATGCAAAATGCAAAATGTGAAAATGTGAAATCGACTTTTGTCCGTTGATTGACTCGCCGGCTGTCCGAACAATTGGGACAAAAGGACCTTTGTCCTGGCGGTATAAACAGCTTGCAGTTGACAGGCTACAAAGCCTGAATCTATCATCCATTGCATTATATTTTCAACTATCCTATAATGCATATTATATAGTATTATATGGAGGATCCACTTCTAATCGAATTCCAAATCAATCTATGTGCCTAGTTGGCCTAATAGTCCTCCACCAAGCCAGTTTATTGCAAGTCCCTGCAAGTCTGTTCATGTCCATGATGGGCATTCGTTACATATCGTCACTATTAGTTGACGTCTGTTGTCCTCTCACACCCACTCAGGATATCGACTTGAATTATTTGGGTTTCTAGCTTTCGGGATATCGCATGTCACACCCCACAAAACAATAACTCGCACTATCTACCACCCCCCACCCCCCACCTCTATGCCACAACTTTCGTCACGAACATAGAGACTGAATGACAGGCCAGACGGATAGATGGACGGGAACGCACTTTATTTGCTGGCATTTGGCATAACAAGGACAACGAATGTTAACGTTTGTCCTTCGCCACTAACTAACACCAAAGGCATCAAACCTACACTGACCAACAAGGCTTTTTCTTTTTAAGGAAGATTTCTAAGGTTCTAATCCTTGTAGGTTTCTCTCAGTGCCCTGAGTCTGATCTGCAAACAAAAAGCTGACTGAATCGAGGCTGCTTTTCTGGCAAACAACCGCAAATGTGTTTGTGCGTGATTGCTAGCCAGGACCACGCCCCAGTTACCCAACCAACCAACCGACCGCCACTCCCTCACAGGACTCGCAGGACTCTCCCTAGCCCTAAAGGCAAAGTGTTGAAAGTGGAATTATGTGTGCTTGTGTTGACATTATAATAATGGTTTGGTTTATGTTTATAGTCTCCTTCATGCAACCGTACACATGTTCGTCCTTTCTACGATTCCTATTCCGATTCTCATTCCCAGGGACAGGACCCTACTCTATATATCCTGACAGTCAACTCTCTGCGTGTGTGTGTGTGTGTGAGTTGTGATTACTATTCAAATATTGTGACAGTGTGTGAAAAATAAACAAATTTGCATTATTTATTTTTGTCTCGTCCTGGCGAGTCCTGCCTGCCCTTGGCAACCATCTATGTTCCACGCCTTCGTAAAAGTTTTCTTGTAATTTTTTCCAACAATTAATAAAAGAAAATTATGCACAGGAAGGAGAGGGGAGGTCCTCCCGGGAGAGGTCCTTATTAAAAATATGATATCCTCAAAGAGACTACCAAAGGAGGAGCAGGAGGAGGAGGAAAAAAAAAAACGATTCCTAATCGGAGACCATTCAGAGCCGTGCCTCTATGTAACCTCTGGCCAGAAACCCTTTGAAGAATCCCAAATAAATACGCCAGAGGGGGGAAGAGGAGGGGAGACACCAAAATACGCAAAATATGTTTAGTTTGCGGTGTCCTTCAGGATCCTTAACGTTTGTGGCATTTTTTTTGTCGCATCTCCGGGTCGCATAAGTTGTGATTTATGAGCCGAGGCAGCGACACCTCCGGCCAGCAGAAGCCTCCTCCTATTCTAGGGGGGGCAGGACACGGTGCTGCTCCTGCTGCTGGCGGCCTGTGAAAAGCCATAAAGTGCAAATGGTGCCCGGGGGAATCATCAAACAGCAAAAAGCTGCCATAAAACGACACAAACATGTGCGCAACACTCACACACACACACCTATACACCTATACACACATATACGCGAAAAGAAAAGAGAGAGAGCATGAAGAGAGATGGCTGGATGATGGAAGCTGAAATGGAGACCCGGAAATAGATACGCCATCAAGTGGTCAACATTCGTTGGGGTGTCGGTGTCGGGGTGTGTGTGTCTCGCTTGTTGGTTGTCCCTGATAGTTGTTGTTGCTTTAGTCCTGCCAGTCCTGCCTGTCCTGGTGTCAGTGTCGGTGTCGGTGTATGTTTGCTGCCAGATTGGATATCAGTGTAAACATCAAAGTAGTTGGCAAATCACTCACACGTAGCCAACTAAGAGCGCTGTCACGACCGCCCGTCCGAATCACCGAACCAGGACCAGGACCAGGACGAGGACCAGAACCAGGTCCAGAGCCGAAACCAGGAAGAGCCGGTTAAGAAGCGGAAGCCAAGACACGATGGCGGGGACACTCAGTGTGTGTGTGTGTGCCCGGCATACAAATTGGCGACAATCCTGGGACCACAATTCGCGAAATCAACGACCTAGCAGCCCCCTTCCTCCCCCCACCAACTCGGACTCGGACTCGGTCTGATTAACTTTTCGGAGCGAGGGAGTGGGAATTAATATAATAATGGGTGGGCTATGTGCTTTCCCTTTCTCTCCAAATAGTGATAGGTGAAAGGTGTGTGGATGGGAGGGGGTGGGTGCAGCTAATTCGAAAGAAAATTGGCAATAATGGAACATGGATGGGGATAGTAGGAAAGATATTTGAAAGAAAATCCAACAAAATATTTCCATCAGAGACAAAGATGCAAAATGTATGGGAACATGGCCTGCGCACCTATTGCGGTACTCGGCTGGAAGATCGGATAAGAAATGACAGAGATAAGGAAGATCCAATGAGCCACGTGGGAATTTTTTTTGAATTTTCAAAGGGGATGCCGGGAAAGAATTTTCAAAGGGGGGAATTATTAACTAATTGTTAAAATAAATAAAGGATCCAACAATGAATGTTAAAAGAATATTTAATCTTTTTAAAAATAATATAATAATAGATTGTGTAATAATGAAGAAAAAGAACAAAAAGAAGAAAAGAGGATAAAAGAAGAAACTCACATGGATTTCAATTAAAAATGTTCAGTCACGAGATTAGTTCTTGGTTAACCGTTATTCTCTATGACTCTTCCATTTGCCCTCACAGAAACGCACGCCCGATCACGCCACGCCGTTTTACCGTATTTCGTAAAAAAAAAGGTTTTTTTTCAATGCCTGACGAAATTACACTCACACACACTACCGCACAAGACACGTGCAAGTCAGGCACTAAAAACTGGCATTTTCATGAAAATCTTAGGTAATTTTCTTTTTAATACAAACTAGATTATTTTTTATCACCAACTGATCTATTTTTCAATAAAAACTTCAATTAAAAGCCACTTGATATCAAAAATTAAATCACTATTCATCGGACGGGACGGATTAAAAAACACATGCGCACGCGACGAGAAGCAAATGGGAATTGACATTCCCATAGCGGGTGGAGTGAAAATTACGGAATCGGCGAGAGCGCAGGTGTGAGAGGCTTTCCATTGCTCGCCGTTAATGAGAGGCTGGAGTGCACTAATAAGAGTAAGAGTGGGAAAGAATAATTTGGCACCCACGGCCGCAAGAGGGAAATGGCAGAGCTATTCGTTGTGCTTTACTATATTTTCTCCATTATTGAAATGATTAAATGGGAAATGGGCCAGAGCGCAGGTGTGAGAGGCTTTCCATTGCTTGCCGAATGAGAGGCTGGAGTGCAAGGGGAGACGTGGAGAAGAAAAAGAGCCACCCACTGAAGGGAGAGCGAAATAGCGGGCTTTTGATTCGCTCCCATTGCTCTTCCGAAACTAATTGCGCAGTTGAATTAAGGAAATTAACGAGAGCGCAGGTGTGGAAGGCTTTCCATCCCTCTCGTGCTCGTTTCAAAGAGAGCCAACGTGGGAGGCTAATAAGGGTGCTTATCACTGCTACCTCCCTCTCTTGCTTGATCCAGCAATGAGATCCAAGCTCTGGAATGCATTTTTCTCCTTCTCTTTGAAATCTTTAGCTAAAATATGTCTCTCCCCTTTTAGGATGCTCTTAATTGAACTAGAGGTACTTCCACTGACGTCACACCTCAGAGGGTTATAATATAGTGGCCATTTTAGTTAGTTTTAGTTCAAGTTTTAGTTGTAGGTCTAAATAAAACCCCATCGTAATGGTAATTCAAGGTACTCACCAACAATATTGAGGTAAACGGAATGTCCGATGGGCGGCGTCGTCGATATCTGGCACTCGTAGATGCCCGAGTCCTTGCGCTGGGCGTACCTGATCCTGAGCGTCCAGTCCTCGGCGTGGGGCGAGTGCATTGCCTCGAACCGCTGGTCGGAGGTGTACGTATAGCGGCCGACGGTCAGCAGGTGGATGTCCCGATGACGCACCCAGGAGACCTGCAAGGACACAACCAAGTGGATGGCACTTAGTGGATGTTGCGGCGATAATACGATTCCGGACGGCGGACTGACTTTCGGGGGGCTTTCAATTGCACGCTTAGCTATGGATTTGACTCCTGTGTCCGTTGTCCTGTGTCTGTTGTCCTCTGTCCACTGTCCCTTGTTCTCTGTTCGATTACAGGACACACAGGACAAGGGACATGGGACATGGGACACAGGACACTCGACACTGGACACACACACAGGCATGCTCTACAGGAGAGTCTGTCGTAAAATAAACATTGAAAATGCCAAATTGGAATCGAATACGGAAGGGGGCACTTGCCGACACTGAGAAAAAGGGGGGCTCATAGCTTAAAAATAATACTAGAAAAATATTAAAAATACATTTAAAGTACTAATAATATTAAAACACTTTTAATAAATACTTATCTTTAAAAATTTATTATTTCTATAAGCCCTAAGTCCCCACAATTTTTCTCAGTGTCCCACCTGAGGGCTTAGCTCCTCCGGCCTAGCTTTCTGCCTTTTGTCGATCAGACCACACTGAGCATTTAAAAAAAAAAAAAATAGGGCCATGCCAGGACGCAGTCGCCTGCTTTTCGCTCCTGAATGCTCTTTGAGTTTTATGGCCACCACCACCCTCCCTCCCTCCATTCCAGCCCCCACCCCCTTTTTTCGGCGGCCATAATTACGCGCCGCTTAACTCGCCGACTCGCAGGGGTAGGGGGGTAGCGGAGCCTCCTGGCACTGACCAGAGTCCTGGTGAATCAACAAACGCAGTGCATTTGCGGGTGCGGGTTACGGGCTGCGGATTCGGATACGGATTCGGAATCGGGACGTTGACATCGCCTGCGGTCTATTTTGGCGGCGAGGAACAATCACATGTCGCATGGATGTGTGTGCTTCCATTGGGGATTTGCCTTTTTTGAAGTCGGATTCGGGATTCGGATACGGATTTGGATTCTGGACTTTGTTCCCCCCCCACCTACCCGCATTCTGGCCGGCCATTAGACACGCCCACACACTCTTCAGCCCCCCCTGGCCACTAGCCCACTAGCCTTTGTATATTAAAATGCGAATTGGAATCGAAAATTTGTGATGATGGAGACCAGAGACTACAACTACACTTGAAAAAAAAACAAAGAATATAAGATATTTAATTGATTATTTTAAAATTATTATTTTAACTCATAAATTGTAACTATTAAGTTTTAATTATTTTTTTTATTAAAAGTTTCTTTATTTTTTATTTTATTTCTTTATTTTTCCCACTGTACTTTTCAATAATGTCCTGCATTAATTTTTCTTTTGAAACAAAAAGCAGAATATTTAAGCCATCTGATGGTGATAATATATCAGGGTTCTATCCATAGAATTAGACTACCCTGGAAAAAGGACTACTTAGGACATGTCAAAGAATTTAAAAAAAAAGGACTGTTTATAAGGACTTAAACAATAATATCTTTAGAAGTTAGAAAATCATATCTTTCTTAAAAAAATAGTATTGCCAAGTCCATGAAGCTGAAGCAACTTAAAACAATGTTCTTTGAGAATTATCATAGAATTCTATGTCTTTTTTCTTTTTTAGAGAAATAACATATAATCATTGAAAGAGGACTATTAAGAACAGATTTGAAAATCTTAGAACATGTTCTCTGTCCTAAAAAAAAAGGCTTGTCCTCCGTGAACAGTATTCTTTCATTTCAGCGTAATTTTTTTCAGAAAAAGAATATCCTTTTAGGGATAAAGGACTTTGTAGAACATATCAGAGGATGTTATGTTTCTTAAATAAAAGGGTATTAAAAGGTTATAGTAGCTTAGCTTACTTCAAACATTTATATTTTAATTATTACTTTAAAATTCAATTTCAACAAATTCCAGTTCAAGAGCCACTAAAGTACAAAGAGTGTAAGGATGTCTAAGTGGTAGGTCCTAATATTATATACTACATTACCTATAAAGTAGGTCCTTTATGTATTACTTTCCAAACCTAACAACTATCCTTGATTCCACCATAAAAACTACTTAAATCCTTGTTAACCTTTCAGATTATTTGTTTTTATGACAACACACCCTTGTAATTACTCATTTAATAGCTAATTTAAAGCAACTTTTAAACTTTAATCGTATTAATAAATTGCAGATACCAGCCCCAACTATCAAGGCCTACACCACCCCCTCCAATCGATTGCAAATGCTCTTTTCAGAGGCTTTAGTCATTAAGCGCACTCTCTAATTATTTTATGCGGCTTTTGGCCAGTTAATGAATTTGTTGTGCAACATCGCACCTCAATCGTGTGTGTGAGGGTTTTGGATATACATATATATATATATATCCATTATTTAGGTTAGGGCTGGGGAAGCTTTGCATTCTGCACATTCTCTGTGTGAAAGGCAATTAGATAATTACGACAACATTATTAGCAAATTAATTTTGATTTTATGCAGTGGATGCCAAAACACCAGAAAAAGGCAGAGAGACTTCTCATTCTACAACTGGCACTGGCAGTGGTACTGGTACTGGTTCTGGATATTTTATCCTATCCCTTCATAAAAAGATAGATAGATATTTCCTTTGTGTAAGGATGTGGATGTATGTATGTGTTGTTTCTGGGCAATTCAAATAATAACGCATTTTCGTTGCAGATGCCTTCTTCTTGTTGCAACAGATTGTGCTGGCGGTAAGCCAAATTATTTGGCAAGAAAACGAAATGAAAGTGGGCGCAGCTTAAGCCCATCCTCAATCCTTGGCCCACATAATGGTGCCAAAAACAACTGAAAACTGAAGCCTCTAATAAGAATATATGTACATATATTCTAGATTTCATTTAAAATCAATTGAAAATCAAATAATTTTTCAATAAATTGATTAAAAAATATTCCAAACTAGCCAATACTATCCCATACTTTCGAATAAAATCAAATATAACTCAAACTTAAGTGCAATATCTGATATTCCCATTCGAGTTGACTCCCAACCTGAGACAAAGCTTAAGGTCTTCGGTCTACAAAATATTGTTGTGCATAAAATTGATTGTATTTTGATTTCAGTCAGAGAGTCCTTGCTGACTTCCTCCCCCCTCTCCCGACTCTACCGAAAAAAAAATGGATGCAATTTATGATGCTCCAAAAATGATTTCCGCTGCTCTGTGTGTTGCGAAATTGAAGGAAAAATGAGCTGGGATGAGACCAAGTCCTTACATCAGCGCCAAGCAGCGCCATTATTGTGCGCCATAATATTTCTAAATCGGAATTTCCATTCAGATTACGATTCCGTTCGACTGCAGCAGCTGCCACGATTTCGCGTTGCCTACTTTTCAGCGTCTGCCTCTCCCAGAACCCCTCGAAATGGACTGACCTCCGACCCATTCCTATCCATTCCTGTCAGAGTGGTGGGCTTGGAGAACTTTTAGGTTATTGGATTTTAATTGGCCATATTTTGGAACTAGTTAGGGAATCTTTCTAGAAATCGTTTGAGGTACTCCGCTTAAGAATCGGATGAGAATTGGAGAAGATATAGCCATCGCAGTGGGCCCTATAGGGGAAACCCCCATTTTCAAGGGGTCCCAACAGGAAAAATGGACAAAAAATCGAAAAAATATTTCGTCTTAGGATTTTGATGCAGAATGGTGGAGAATCCATTCAGAAATCGTTTAAGGTACTCCGCTTGAGAATCGGATGAGAATTGGGAAAGATATAGCCATCGCAGTGGGCCCTATAGAGGAAAACCCCATTTTCAAGGGGTCCCAACAGAAAAAATGGACAAAAAATCGAAAAAATATTTGGTCTCAGGATTTTGATGCAGAATGGTGGAGAATCCATCCAGAAATCGTTTAAGGTACTCTGCTTGAAAATCGGGTGAGAATCGGGGAAGATATAGGCATCACAGAGGGCCCTATAGGGGAATATGTATAAATTTATGTAAAAAACCTGCTAAAATTTATTATTTTCTCTTCAAAATTCAACACCAACTCCCCTCCCTTCTAATAAATCCTCCTAGTTGCATTCAATGCTGCCTCCTCTATATCTTGTTTTTCTTTTATTTTCCTTTTGGCATCCAGGGCTCTTCCGCCTTTTTTTGTGCCAAAAGGGGCATGCCCCTTGGCTGGCGAACGGCAGGAAGCACCGCAGCTCCCAAAATCTGCAAAAGCTTCCACGGAGCTGAACCAAATTGCATGAACGGGATGCTCTAATTTTATAGGTCAATCCTGCAGGACGCGGCAGGACTCTACTTAATTAGCGAGTGTTGTCTGAATTTATAAACATTTTTAAGGGCCGTCATATCCTTCGTCCTGTCGCTTTCCGACAACACACAATATGCTGTGTACCTGCATCCCTATACAGAAATCCTGATATCCTTTAAGGACATATGTGCTTGTGTCAGATACACAAAAGAAGGACATGGGTGGTGAGGGTGGAATTGCGATTGTCAGTCGGAGGGTCAGAGGTCGGTGGGGCAACACTGATTGGCACTCCAGTTGCCAGATAGCGATGGGATACCAGCGCCCAGTGGCGCCACCGATCGCCAGGTTGCCCCAATCAGCCACTTACCACGTGCAGCTACAATGGCAACAATAAACTAAACCAGGCAACAACTCGATGCAAAGAAACTAAAAATTGGACTCTGTGGGCAAGTGCGAGAAGAAAACAGCTCCTTACATATTCAAAAGCAAGGACATCTCATAATTTGCGCCCAGCTTGGTGGTCTCCGATGTCAGGGATGCCAGGGATGCCTTCTCGATTCTCGATGTCCCGTCGCTATATAAACCAACTAAAAAGTTTCACGCAGCGTAAACTTTAAGTCAGGCAGGCCAACCAACCAGCCAACCCAGTTCCTAGCCAGCAACCTCCCAAAAATAAAATACACCTCAAGTGCGACTGAAACTGAGGGCATCTATGTGGTTTAGACTCTAAAGTTAGGAGTTATAAACAAAGTTTATTCTCCAATAGGGAAAAATTTAAAAAATAAACTAGCCATTTTATAGGATTTTTAT